AGTACAAAAAATGCAGTCCGCCCACCCTTCTCTTTCTTGTTTAATCTTTGTCACCTGATCGTAGAATTCTATCAATCCTGTAAGGCAAGATTTACCCTCCCTGAACCCATGTTGATGGGTTGTCACGAAGTCTCTTCTCTCCAGATGTGTTACTAGGTTTTTTCTCACAATCTTTTCCATCACCTTGCATGGTATACAAGTTAAGGACACTGGCCTGTAGTTCAGTGCCTCTTGTCTGTCACCTTTTTTGTATATTGGTACTACATTAACAGTCTTCCATATATCTGGTAGGTCCCCCGTTTCCAGTGACCTACTATACACTATGGAGAGTGGTAGGCAAAGTGCTCCTGCACACTTTCAATACCCATGGCGAGATTCCATCTGGCCCAACAGCTTTTCTCACATCCAGCTCCAATAGGTGCTTCTTGACCTCATTTCTTGTAATTTCGAACCTATCCAAGGTCACCTGGTTTGCTGCCACCTCTCCTAGCGCCGCGACATCTCCCTGTTCTATTGTAAAGACCTCCTGGAACCTTTTGTTGAGTTCTTCACACACCTCTTTGTCATTCTCTGTGTACCTGTCCTCGCCCACCCTAAGTTTCATCACCTGTTCCTTCACTGTTGTCTTCCTCCTGATGTGACTGTGTAGTAGCTTGGGTTCGGTCTTGGCTTTATTAGCTATATCATTTTCATACCTTTTCTCACACTGACATGTGTGGTGAAGTAATCGTGTGTGGTGATCCCAGGGATTCCGTGTGGTGTAGTAATGGTGTGTGGTGATCACAGGGGTTCCGTGGGGTTGTAGTAATGGTGAGTGGTGATCACAGGTGTTCCGTGGGGTGTAGTAATTGTGTTTGGTGATCACAGGAGTTCTGTGTGGTGTATTAATCGTGTGTGTGGTGATCCCAGGGATTCCATGTGGTGTAGTAATGGTGTGTGGTGATCACAGGTTTCCGTGTGGTGTTGTGGGAAAATCTTAGCATGCTTTAATTGTTTTTCTTCTGTGAATATTCAAATATTTACTTTAATTTATTTTTCAGTTGACTTTAATATTATATTATTTTTATTTGATCATTTAGTTAGTTAATTGAGATAGTTAATCGATTTGAGTTAGTTCTTAGTTAGCTAGTAGTGGACTGTATATACTCTGATTCAGCTGCTAGAATTTATCACACACAGTTCGGTGGGACAATTTGTAGCTTAAACCACTTTGAGGTGGATCCTTCATAAACCACAAGTTGTTTCCCTAGTCTTTGATTTATAAATTATATATCATACCACATATGGTGGTCTAATCTAAAATTATTTCAGCAAATTAAATTGATAACTACTAATACTAGGTCTACTGCATGAAACACAAAAGGGCCTTTGCTGCTTCTGTAGTTGTTGCCTACTAAAGCTGTGTAATGGTAGCATCAGAACTGGGTGTGGCCCTGTGCCTCAGAGTGCCACGTAATGGCGGCTGTCTGGATGCCTACAGAGCCTGATGTAAAGCAGGTAACAATTCCTATAATTATGTTGGGAGCCAACTGTCTGCTTCAGTAACTTCCCTCACAATTACCTATTTGGGATGTTTAACATTAGTAAAAGCACTCCAATATTAAGGCACAGGTATGACATGAATAAGAGGTAAGTATAATGTTGAGTACATACTTGTTTGGGGATTTAATCCCACGTCCTAATGATATTTCCTACAATAATAATTGCCAGTATTAAATGCAATAGAAATACCGAAAATTGTTCTTCCCTTTGTTCTTGAGATCTTCGGTTGGGCTGCCTCAGTGTTGTTGTTGTTGATTTTGGGGCGACGACGATCGTGGGATCGGATGCGCCCCGGCGTACCCGTTAAGGGTGAATCGCGAAGCCAGGAAAGGTGAAACGCCAAGCCAAAACGCGAAACGAGTGACGCCAATCACTAGAAACTATTATGCCACTCGACAAATAAACGCACAGTCAGGCAGATGATTGAGGAGCCCCAGGAGTCCCTCAGGGTGACAAGCACCGACCCCGCCCCATACAGAGAACACCAGGTAACAAAACCAAAACTCGGCCCCCAACTAAAAAGTCATCTATTGTCCTCGGGCAGAGCAGAAGCCGGCCGCCCACCACGACTGAGGGCACACCAGGAGCCCACCAAGACCCGTCAACCCCTGGCACCTCTCGGCCAAGCCGGCCCCCGAACACCGTCACCCTGCCGGGAGAACCAGCCAGAACACGTAAAGAAAAAAAAAATCTACGAACAATCCCGTGACCCAAAGCGATATGTGCGCCAGGCGTCGTACAATCGGACCGTTGAAGAAGGATGCCAAACGGCAGTAGCAAAGCCAAAACGCGAAAACAGGACGTGATCCGGCGGCACCCAGGCGGAGGAGGTATCCAGACGTCAGCTCGGCGTCAAGGTTGAACCAGGAGTCCCTACCGCAGTGTTTACAAGTTGTTGTTGTTGAGTTAGGGGCGACGATGATCGTGCGATCGGATGCGCCCAGGCGTACCCTTGAAGGGTGAATCGCGAAGCCAGGAAAGGTTAAATGCCAAGCCAAAACGAGAAACGAATGACGCCAAGCACTAGAATCTAATATGCCACACGGCAAAGAAACGCACAAAGGGAGAGGCAGAAGCACATAATATAACAGGGCAAACAAACAGCCAGAGGGGCACACAGCATGTCATAGAGCAAATACACAGGAAATCAGAACACATACTTGCCTGGGAACCTGGCCCGCGGGAACCGTACATTGAACGCCTCCCAGAACACCCATTGCAAAGGGTCCCATCCATCCACCGGGGACGCCATAACATCCGGAACTGTGGCAACAAACACCTGCAAACAGGGGACCCAGATGGTAGTACTCATGAGGCAAGAAGTCGCTACTCGCCCCCGCAGGAAGGGAACTCGCCCACCATAAAAGCACTCCGGTCCGTCAGACAGCGGTAACTCGGCAATCTTCGACCAGTGACCCGGTTGCATCACAGACGCCGGCAACACGTCCCCCAGGGCCCCAACGCGCACCCGCACCACAGGGGTATCCGCGGCCCTGGGCACACCACCAGATGACAGCAGGGAACCCGGACGGCGTGCATCCTTCCGTAACGTCACCACCAGGCCACGCCCAGCACCAGAGTCCACGCCATTCCTGGCAGCGGAAGCCACCACGCCCCACTGTGGAGGTTCCCCCGGCGGAGAAAGAACCGAAGGCACGTCCGAGACACAGGCACAAGCACCAGCAGGCACATGGACCTCCGCCACCACGAACCGCGGAGACATCGACGTATCCATATCCACACCGTCAATACCCGAAGACCCGCAGTCACTGAAATCACCAACGTCGGCCCAGGCAGAAGACGAACGCCAGGAACGTTTGGGCACCGACCGGATATCGTCAGAGCCGGTAAGTGACCCAGAAACACAGGTACCACAAGCCGGATGAACCGACCCCCGACACAGAACGGCAGCAGCCTCTACCACAGGGGGAACCGGGCCACACACAGCAGGAGGCTCTGCAGCCACCCCAGCACCCAGCACATTTGGGACCCGAGTCGTGGACACGGCCAGGTGCAGCATCAGAAGACGAGGGAGAAGACAGCGACGTCACACAGGAAGCTCCAGGAAGGCCCACGGGAGCAGCTGGGACAGCGACAGGATCAGGCAGACCAACCGACGGTACCGCAATACCCGGAGGAGGGACGGCAACAACCGGAGGAACGTCAGGCACTGCCGGGGGAGCTGCAGCAGCAAACGGGACGCGCACCCCCTCATCATCATCATCACCGAAGACTGCCTCCAGAGGGAGCGGCGGAAAATCCTCATCTCGGAACAAGTTGACCGGAGCAGCTGGGGCCTCAGAGCATCCGGCAGCCTGATGGCCCAACAGGCCACACCGAAAATAGGTACGAGGCTGCCAGGCATAATACACCCGGACATAGTATCCCATAACCTGGACAGAAGATGCTATATCCGATCGCAGGCGCATCCCCAACGTGCGAATGTTTGTTCGCTTCCCAGCATACTGCCCAAAGGAGAGCGTGTTCACCTGCACGCTGACAACAGTACCAAACCCCCCGAAGTAACGCCGGAGGAGGTCATCAGAGAACTCCAGGGGCGCACCATGGACACTGACATAAGTCAGGGCACCACTGCGGTCCGAAATCGCCCCAGAGCCGGCATCATCTGGCAACGGCAACGTACGCCCCCCGTACCGACGGAAGAAGTCCCGGTACTCCTCCTCCCTCACGAACTTAATAACAACCCGGTGGGCCGTAACTAGCTCCACACCGTAGATAGCTTCCACCGGGATACGAAGCATATCACACATCACCATCTCCTAGGTCGTATAACCAGCCTTACAAGTGAACTCCAGGCCCACAGAGTTCACACGCTGAACAGGAGGAAGATGGGCCCCCCCCCTCCATGTCAGAACCGCCACGTCAACGCAGCCAGGCAGGCAACAAAACTGGGAGGGTAGAGACGCCCACACCACCTGGTGACCAAAACAGCAAACAACCCCAACAGCCACGGAGGGTCGGTTAACGTTCTCACTCCACGGCTGCTAGCAGTCGACTCCCCATTTACAAGTTGCTGTGTGTACGTGACGACGCCCTAGGGGCGACGTCCCTAAAATATTTGGTGGTTCTATTTATGATTAAGGAATAGAGAGTTAAGCTATATTCCTTGTGTTGGAAATTATATTCTATCTTAGTGAACACTTTTTTATTAAGTTTAAACACTAGACTGTTGTTTAAAAGAAATAAAGTTAATGTAGAGATACGTCTTGTTGTTGACGTCACGGAATACCTGTTCTCTGATTTCTTTAATGGGTAACTTATGTTATTTTGTGTGTCGGATTTCCTAAAGGTGTAGTAATGGTGTGTGGTAATCAATGGGGTTCTGTGTGGTGTATTAATGGTGTGTGGTGATCACAGGAGTTCCGTGTCGTGTAGTAAGAGTGTGTGGTGATCACAGGGGTTCCGTGTGGTGTAGTAATGGTGTGTGGTGAACACAGGGGTTCCGTGTGGTGAGCGCCGAGGAGTGCTGGTACAAGTCGCTCGCCCCACTGATGGAGGAGGTGAGGCAGCAGATGGGAAAGGGTCCAGTCTATCTCTCCTTTGATATCGACGCCATCGACCCAGGGTTCTGCCCTGGTACAGGTGAGTTACACACACTCAGTAACAGAGGCAAGTAATTAAATACAAAATCGCAGGCCATATTTTCACAAAGGCGTGTACATCTGCATTCTGGTGTAATAATAACCCTCCAGAGAATGATGGACCTTAAGCAAAACGTCAACATTGGTGGTGCTCAATACGCTATTCTGGGGCCTTTAAAACCCCCTCATTAAGATCATATTCGAAAACTAACACAAAACTTGATCTTTGGTTAGTAAACTATGGGGGCGGCCTTAATAACCTCCAAGAGCATAATAGATCTTAAATCACAACACCAAACTTCCTGGTTGGCCAGTAAGTTATTATGGTGCCCTTTATAACCCTTTAGAGCTTGAAAGAACCTTTAGCCCATCATAAAAACGAATTCACACTGAATTGTGAAGCAATAACAGAAAAGTGCTACTTATAACGTTAAAACACTAAAACATTAGACATTTAAGGAAAATTAAAGACTTGTAGACTGATGGACAGCGATGTAAAGACAATTATAGCCATGTAGGGACAAGTGCCAGCAACTTACGGAAAAGTATATCCATGTAGTGACATGTGGTAGCGATGAAATGACAAGAACAGCTATATAGAGACAAATCGCAGCTATGTAGAAACACACCGCAATGTAGGGACACGTACAGCAAAGAAGGGACAATTACAGTTATGTAGAGATACGCACAGCTATGTAGGGACACGTGGCAGCCATATACGGAGAAGTACAGCTATGAAGGTAAACGTCACAGCAATGTAGGGATCCGTACGGCAATGTAGGAACAAATAGGAGCCATATAGGGATAAGTACAGAAATGTAGGAAAACGTGTAGCCATGTAGGGACAGGTACACCCATGAAGGGATAAGTGGCAGCCATGTTGTGGCAGCCATGTTGTGGCAGCCACCCACAAAGTTACTTTTGTAACTATTTGGACTTTCATCCACACATTGACATAAAACGCAAGTAGATAGTAGAATTTGGTACAACCACGTACATACAAGTGTAGGGACATGTGGTAGCCATGTAGTGACAAGTGGTACCCATGTAGTGACAAGTTGTAGCCATGTAGTGACAGGTGGTAGCTATGTAGGGACTAGTGGCAGCTATGTAGTGACAAGTAGTAGTCATGTAGTGACAAGTTGTACCCATGTAGAGACATGTAGTAACTACATAGTGACAAGTGGTAGCCATGTAGGGACATGTGGTAACCATGTAGGGACAAGTGGTAGCAATGTAGTGATAATAGGTTCCCATGAAGTGACAAGTTGTAGCCACGTAGGAACATGTGGTAGCCGTGTAGTGACAAGTGATAACCATGTAGTGACAAGTGGTAACCATGTAGTGACTAGTGGTAGAAATATAGTGAAAAGTGGTAGCCATGTAAAGCCGAGTAGTAGCCATGTAAGGACATGTGGTAGCCATGTAGTGACAAGTGGTAACCATGTAGTGACAAGTGGTAACCATGTAGTGACTAGTGGTAGCCATGTAGTGACTAGTGGTAGAAATATAGTGAAAAGTGGTAGCCATGTAGTGACTAGTGATAGAAATATAGTGAAAAGTGGTAGCCATGTAGGGACAAGTAGTATCCGTGTAGGGACAAGCGGTAGCCATGAAGTGACAAGTGGTAGCCATGTAGTGACTAGTGGTAGCTATGTAGTGACCAGTGGTAGCCATGTAGTGACAAGTGGTAGCACTGTAGCGACAAGCAGGTAGGCAATTGATGTACAGATTCCTGATCCTACTGGGCTCTATTATATCTACATTTTAAACTGTGTTTGGAGTCAGCCTCCACCACATCACTGCCTAATGCATTCCATCTGTTAACCACTCTGACACTGAAAAAGTTCTTTCCTACGTCCCTGTGGCTCATTTGAGTACTCAGTTTCCACCTGTGTCCCCTTGTTCGCGTACCACCCATGTTAAACAGTTTATCTCTGTCTACCCTGTCAATTCCTCTGAGAATTTTGTAGACACAGACACAGAGTCACAGAGGGCAGGGAGGAGGACACACACCCCACCACCCTAGCATCCCTGGGCAGCAGACAATCTTCAGCAGGGGAAGCAGGCACCACACCAACAGCAGCAGCCGAGGACCCCACAGAAGCCTCCGGCCGCGGATGCATCTCCGCCACCACCGAACGAAGAACCCCCGAGGCAGGAGCTCCTGTTCCCACAGAGCACACCGGGGAAGCAGACGTACTATGTCCCGACCAAACAGGGACAGAGGGAGCAGTTGCTAAACCCGCCGCAGGAACCACCCCAGGCACCTCACCAGGGCAAGAAGGCGACGAGGAAGCCCCTCGCGTCTCCAAAGGGGGGAAGTCACCCTCCAAGAAAATGAAGGGAGCCTCAGCTCGAGGAGCATCACAGCTCACCACCACATGGCCCTCAGCACCACACCGGAAACAAGTGCAAGTCTGGCCCTGATAAAATACTCTGAGCGAGAGCGCACGATACAGAAGACGAGACGGTACCGGTGACGTAATCTTCATACCTAGTGTACGAATGCCCGTACGCAGCCCGCTCAGCCGACCTGTACGCAGATGGTTGAAGCGATGAAACTGCACCACTCCATACTTCTCAAACACAACCCACAGCTCGACCTCAGATAACGTCACCGGTACACCATGCACACTCACGTACTGCACGGCCTCCCAGGGATCCGAAATGGCCACAGACACAGCCGTGTCGGTGACTGGAACCGAGTGGCTGGCCCAACGCGCCACAAACTCCTTGTACAGCGAGCTCCTGCAGAAGGTCACTGCCACCCGCGTAGGGGAAAGCTTTTCCAGCCCTATCAAATCCTGGACATCCACTTGAAGCACATCGACGACAGCAATTTCCACAATTGCCCAGTCCACATCCCCTGAGAATTCAAGGCACGCCGTGTCCACCCGCCGTACGCGGGACACACCACCAACCACCATACCACCAGCCGGGCCCTCCGGCCAGCGGGCGCACCACACCACAATCCACACCCGCCTCCACTCAGCACCAGGCGACAACTGGCAGGTCAAACGAGCACGTTCTGGCCCTCTGGCGGCCAGTGAGCGAATCCTTAATTTTTTGAGATAGGTTATATGTGGTCTGTAGTGACAAGTGGTAGCCATTTAGTGACAAAGGGGAGCCATGTATTGACAAGTGGTAAGCATGTAGTGACAAGTGGTAACCACGTAGTGACAAGTACTCACATATTTGTACTCACGTATTTGTGCTGGTGGGGGTTGAGCTTTGGCTCTTTGGTCCCGCCTCTCAACAGATCAATCAACTGGTGTACAGGTTCCTGAGCCTAATAGGCTCTATCATATCTGCATGTAAAACTGAGTATGGAGTCAGCCTCCACCACATCACTGCCTAATGCATTCCATCCGTTAACTACTCTGACAATGAAAAAGTTCCTTCTTACGTCCCTGTGGCTCATGTGGGTACTCAGTTTCCACCTGTGTCCACTTTTTCGCGTCCCGCCAGTGTTGAATAGTTTTTCCTTGTTTACCCGGTCGATTCCACTGAGGATTTTGTAGGTTGTGATCATGTCCCCCCTTACTCTTCTGTCTTCCAGTGTCGTAAGGTGCATTTTCAGCAGCCTTTCCTCATAACTCATGCCTCTTAGTTCTGGGACTAGTCTCGTAGCATACCTTTGGACTTTTTCCAGCTTCGTCTTGTGCTTGACAAGGTACAGGCTCCATGCTGGGGCCGCATACTCCAGGATTGGTCTTACATATGTGGTGTACAAGATTCTGAATGATTCCTTACACAGGTTCCTGAACGCTGTTCTGATGTTAGCCAGCCTCGCATATGCCGCAGACGTTATTCTTTTTATGTGGGCTTCACAAGACAGGTTTGGTGTGATATCAACTCCAAGATGTTTCTCTCTGTCTGTTTCATTAAGTACTTCATCCCCAATTCTGTATCCTGTGTCTGGCCTACTTTTTCCACTGCCTAGTTTCATTACTTTGCATTTACTCGGGTTGAACTTCAACAGCCATTTGTTGGACCATTCACTCAGTCTGTCTAGGTCATCTTGTAGCCTCCTACTATCATCCTCTGTTTCAATCCTCCTCATAATTTTTGCATCATCGGCAAACATTGAGAGAAACGAATCTATACCCTCTGGGAGATCATTTACATATACCAGAAACAGTATAGGTCCAAGGACTGACCCCTACGGGACTCCACTTGTAACGTCTCGCCAATCTGAGACCTCACCACTCACACAGACTCGTTGTCTCCTGTTGCTTAGGTATTCCTTTATCCAGTGAAGTACCTTCCCTTTCACTCCAGCCAGCATCTCCAGCTTTTTCACTAGCCTCTTGTGTGGTACTGTATCAAAGGCTTTCTCACAATCCAAAAATATGCAGTCTGCCCACCCTTCTCTTTCTTGCCTTATTTTTGTTGCCTGGTCGTAGAATTCAAGTAACCCTGTGAGGCAGGACCTGCCATCCCTGAACCCATGTTGATGCTGTGTTACAAAGTTCCTTCGCTCCAGATGCTCCACTAGCTTTCTTCGCACAATCTTCTCCATCAGCTTGCATGGTATGCAGGTTAGGGACACTGGCCTGTAGTTCAGTGCCTCCTGTCTATCCCCTTTCTTGTATATCGGGACTACGTTAGCTGCTTTCCAAATATCTGGCAGTTCCCCTGTTGCCAGTGATTTGTTATATACACTATGGAGAGTGGTAGGCACAGTTCTTTTGCTCCTTCCTTTAGTATCCAAGGGGAGATTCCATCTGGGCCTATAGCCTTTGTCAAATCCATCTCTAGTAAACACTTCCTTACTTCCCCGCTGGTAATCTCAAACTCTTCCACTGGTTCTTGGTTTGATATTCCCTCTCATATCTCTGGAAATTCTCCTTGCTCTAAGGAGAAGACCTCCTGGAATTACTTATTCAGTTCCTCACACACACTTCCTTGTCGTTTGTAGTGAATCCTTCCGCCCCTATCCTTAATTTCATAACCAGTTCCTTTATTGTTGTTTTTCTCCTGATGTGGCTATGCAAC